TGGTTGTTTTCGCATGACAAATATTACAAACCCATATATGTTGATGTCCTCATGTTTGGTATGATTTATTGATTGCATGTGTTGCTGATACATTTTATCTTGCTTTATTTGGGATTGGTTAGTTGTATGATCAGATCATATGTCTTGGTTCGAAAACAAAACTTGTCACTCCTTATACCACAGATGATTCAGTCATAAGCCTGATTTATGAGTAATGCTGTCTTAGACTCGGAAGTATATGCGATGTGCTCTTTGTCGCTTCATAAAAGAACCCTACTCATTTGACAGTCCCTTCAGCTCACTCCGTTTACAGTACTCAAAATCACCCTAGGATGAAGTCTAAGATACGCTAATTCGACAAATAAAGCATGGGTCTATCATCATAAATTTCTCGGATGTCGAACAGACCCAAGAAGCAAAAATAACCGACTAGCATACATCTTGCACGTGACTTGCACTTGTTGGGTATCGCCATTCCCCTGATGCGCTGGCTCTTGTATCCATCATTTCACGCCAAGATGTCTTGACGAATATACTCATTTAAAAACCCTCCCCTCATACTCGAGAGCTTCAACCTCAGTGCAATCGAAAGTCCTTTCAAATTAATTCATCTTCCTCAATGACTCTTGCAAGATGCTGTCATATCTCTGGCGATTTTTTTCGCCAGCATTGACTGCACTGCGCTACTTCGGCTATCTTGGTTATCGCGCATTCGGCTTCTTATCTCATATATTTCCACGATCTATCGAATATCGTCCGCCCCGATCTGGAAAACCTGACGATCTTGAGGCGGCTAGTCATCCGGCTGGTGATGATACCTCAACATCGCAGTGCGAGACGTACACTCTACAATTGCACCCTCAACACGACTTGGAAGTCATTGAAATCGGATCTTCTTTTCAGATTCACAAAGTGAATGATCACATAGTCCTCAAATCACCCTTATTATATGTACCACCTGGAAACAATGCCTCTGAGCGTGCCCACCGACACTACGCCTCAAACACCCCCTCCCAAATTAACCAATTACAAAACGAACGAACTGTCCTACAACTACTTCAGAAACAACCACACCCTCACATCATAGAACCAATCGACACCCACTATCTAGAGGGTATCTACCTCCGCAAATACCACCCACTATCCGAGGATAGATTGCCCCCTCAACGCCAACGAATTCGCTGGTACCGCGATCTTGCTCATGCACTATGCCATATCCACAACCTTGGCATCGTGCACGCAGATGTCCGGATGGACAATCTTCTATTAGATGAGCACGACCGCGTAATTCTCTCTAACTTTAGCGCTTCCAGTCCTCTCGGTGCGCCAAATGATGTTTCTTTGATAAACGGCTCTTCGCGGACTTTATCTGAGAAAACAGATATGTTCGCCATGGGGTCGCTGATATATCAAATGGAACATGGTGCTAAGCCTGAACTGTCTGTTGACAGTCATGGTATGTTGGTCTTGCCGAGTATACACACCGGCAGGCCTATGCTTGATAGTATTATTCGAGATGCCTGGTTGGGGGGTTATGGCTGTACCAAGGAGATGTTACAGCGCATTGAGGCTATTGATACTATCGGGGATGATTTTGCTCAGGGTCTTCAAAGTCAATTTATATCAACAAGAGAACTGAGAAGTCGTGTGCGGGAATGGAGGGAGGGTCGTGAGGATAAGTTTGGTAAGTAGTTTACCCTTGCAATGTCTTATGTTTCACCCTTAGCTGATTAGTATGATCTATAGGCAGTGTTCTAGAGGGCATACTCTCCGAAGCCCAAGTACAAAGTCTAGCTGACCGGTATGGATTGGATAGAGGCGCAGGTTTACGCTTTTGATTATCGAGATACACTCTTGTACATAAGGTAACAGTAGATACGTATATCACAATAAGTCATGGTTCAATAGTCTAAGGGCTTAGACGCACAATGCAAGAGAACAAGCCCCAACGAGTCAGTCCAATTTTCTCCTCTTTTCGCCCTCTCGCCTTTTCGAAAATCGCCGAGAGTAGTAGTCTTCTCCCCGACTCAACCACCATCTTTCAACCCTACCAGAATGTGGATCTAGGGTGTAGAGTTGACTGAAGGGCTTAAATCTCCTTAGCTGTCTAGTGTACGCAACTCGGTTTGACAGTCAAGAGAGGGTCGATAGATGAGAGCGTTAGGCGGCGAAGTCTGTCGAGGTAGGTAATACCTCTGTTGTACTTATCTATCAGTTGAGGTGGGCTGTTCAGCTGACGGGATGGAAAATATTTCGAGAGCTGGGCGTGATTTGGGGATTGAGTTGTGAGGGGGATGTGCACGATTTGACATAACAATATGAGGAAAGAAGCTGATTATTAGCCTTGAATAATTGAGGGGATATTGTATGCCTTTCTTTGTGTCTGTCTCTTGGAACTGGTTCTTGATCTGTAGGTAAAATATGAGCAGAGAATTACTAGAATCGTTTTATTGCATGTAATAAGTGTATGCTCAACTGGATAGTAGTCCATTACCAGTAGTGAGACGGAAAGGAAACGTGAGCAATCAAGTACTGGTTTGCCTTCAATCAGAATACATCGAGAAACGACTGATTCTGACGTCTAAGGTGTTCACTCCTGGTGGAGCAAGGGTATCATATGGCTAAAATCCTCTGCAGCATGAGACATCTGGGTCAGGGCAGTCATGTCCCTACTTACTTAGGGTCTAGCCACGGCGCTCGATGAGTGTGCGCATGTGATGCGTCGAGAATTTGGCATGACTTGATGGTTTGGTTACCACTTGGTTTTTTTTTCACTGGTTCAAGTCATTAGTATATGTTGGTTCGGTTATTGATAGGCAAGCTGGAGGACTAGGAGGCAGCATAGGTGGTAGGCTTGTGATTTCGGTTGTCGATGTTGTTGTTGGTTGGTGAATGTTACATCACAGATGTGGTGTATCTGGTGGAGGAACCTTCCTAGCACACGAGGACATATCTAGAGATTGGCCTACGGCTCCTCCGGTGAGTCAATGAAAGATGAGGGGAATGGATTGGTGTGGGTGTCCTTGTAAGTCTTTGACAGGCTGTCGACAATCCTGCTCGTTGCGGGACGTGAAGTAAGCGCTGTGGGTGACAACTGCAGTCTGAGCGACCCCATTTCGAATGCCTTTCTGCATCTTTACCATGCGGGCACTCGAGTGTGACACTACATGCCACGGAAGTCAAGAAACAGAGACGCTGTGGCGTAACCGACAATGGTGATGGCGCTTCCGTGCTCTGATCCTCTGCAGCGTTACTTTGCACCGAGATGAATTGTTGGGCCCAAGCTCTGGCGCTGTTAGTTACCAGTAGACTATACCTTTAACCATGCAACCAGCAACAGAACTCTCTCCATCCTTAGAAGCAGACTCTTCATAGATCTGTAAACCCAGGATATTAGTCTAAACCAACAAGGTATCAACGTGTCGGCTACTGGATATCGTGCCGTTTCTAGGCCGGCTTGCAATGCAGTTACTACAATCCCGCGCCGTTGGATGCACAGAGCGTCTGAGCATAAAGAGGGGTTCACACGCAGCCATGTGCATCAGCTACCCGTAGCCAACCGATCGTAACGATGGCAAGCCAGGTTCTGCAAGTGCTGGTGTGACATGGCCGCAGGAACGCCAAGGTGTGGTAGTAGCAACATTGCAGGCAAGTCGAGATCAGTCACAAACCCCGCGCCTGCAACCCGCTATCCCATGGCAACGAGGACCCTCACCAGTCTGATGGGCCCGCTGATTCGTAGAAGGGTGAAGAGACGTGAAGACACCAGCATTACTTGCAGCCGCCCGATAGATTAAGTGCCGACAAAATAAGGTAGAGAGACAAGCAGCATCGGCAGATTGGCCCAGCTGCCAAAGTAGAATAACAATGGAATTGAAGGATGCAACAAGCAGCGCTAACCACAGCACGCAATAGGTGTTCTGAAGCCATGGCTTGTGCAGAAGTTGGGGTTGCGGATGGGCGAGCCGCCCTCTTGCCGGAAGGTGGGCTTGCGCGTTAACGCTGAGCGAACCAGGAGGGGCCAACGCACATCTTCGAGCCGGAGAGATCGTGAGGAGTCAAGAAATGAGTGCCGTCCCGGCGATAAGGGCATGTTGTATATGCAGGATGCATTTGTGTTTGGGAACATTGACAGGGTAACGGAGACTTTGACTCGATGAACCAGGCGCGAAACTTCCTGGAGAATTTGGCTTGTTGGACTGTTGGATTCCCGCTGTGGACAGACAGACCAGCGATTCTATATCCTAGAGCAAAGGTATAAGAAGGAGGACGTCGACGCAGTTCAATATCCATCCAAACAGCAGCAGCAGCAGCAACACTTCACTTTCCTCATTCTCTCCTTCACATTGATCACTGCCAGCCAAGCAGGCACGGCAAGCGCCTTACCCGATCCCCTCATCCGCATCCTGACACTCCACACACCCTCAACTCTGCCGTGCTCCTGGCGGCCAAAGATCGCCACCATCCGACTCGGTGCTTTTGGAGAGAAGGCGAGGCTTTGGCGCCGAGTTGCTGAAAGGAGCTGAGCGTTTAGCCTGCTTTGGGGTTAGCGTTTCACACGGTATCTTACTGTCTGGTAACTTTACCGTGTCAGACTGCAATACCCGTACCGTACAGGAAATCCGTCTGCCTTTGCGTCGGCGTCAACTCGAGATAAATAATCTTCCTCCACTTCCCTCCCTCTACTTTTTCTCTCCTTTTTCTCCTTGCGCGCTAGAGCAGCCGAAGGGTCTTCCATCTGTCCTTACTATATAGCTTCGTGCTTGCTGTCATCCTGGTGGACGATACCTGCCCTACCTTCAAGTCCCTTGCTGCCTCAGGCTCGCAGCTGCCTACATCTGCCTCTACTATACTATACCACGCTTCCCTTCTACTGCCACGCACAACGTGACTAGCTCAGGCGCGACCTTGTGATTCACCAGTCATCTGCTGTGGACGTGTCATATAAACAGTCTACCTCGTGCAGTCTTCTCATACACCACTTCAGATCTACCGTCAAAATGCCTGCCAAACCAATCCTCCATCCGTTGCGGACGCCCAAGAATATGACGTTCCCCTCGGAACTGCAACCAGACAATGGAGTGAGGCTAGGCGCTCCAGGAAAGCAACAAGATGAGAGTCTCTCAACACCTATCACACCTCCCGCTGCATACACCGAATTCCTCAAATCATTCACGCCTGTCTTCACCCCGGATGGCAATGGAGGTACCGTCACCCGCTTCGTCTGGGACAAGGCCAACAAGACCCCCACATCCCAACCAGCCAGCGCAGTCAGTGGTTCATTCAGCTTCCCCGAACCAACCAGACCAGCTACAGCAACATTACCACCTCCATCTCCCTATGGAAGTGCACCGCACGGTCGTGACATGATGAGTCTGCGTCGCTTGCGCATCCCGCCGCCAATGCGGTATTCACCTACGCTGGAGACGCCGCGCAGTGCAACGACGCCCGTCCTATCACCCTACTCTTACTCGTACTCCCCGGCCGATTGGAAGATGCGCTACTGGGATGGTCCCCGGAGTGCAACGGTGGGGAGAGTCAGCGTGCGTCATGTTGTCACTCACACGGTGACGTATAAGCGGACGCAACTTGAGGATCCGCCCAAGGGGAAGCGGAGAAAGCATAACGAGACCAAGCAGGAGGAGGAGGAAGAAGAAGATTCCTAAGCAGGATTTTAGTTCGATTCACGATTTTCTTTTTACTGTTGTTTTCTCTATGGTCATGGTACTAGCGCAGGGTCCGGCGTTAGGAGTTAGGAGGCGGGGGGAAGAAGCAAGCGAGACATTTTATTATCAGTTTTGTTCGGAGCAAGCAGTGCGATTTGAAAATTATTTTTCTTCCTCACTTCAACTTCATGTGATCATCAGTAAGCCATGTAGCATTACCAGTAAGTATGTAGTAGTAGTAGAGAATGGTAATAGCACTTACAGGGTTGATTAATGGAATGTGTATGCGTTGGCAATATACTAAGCAGGGTATATACGCCCAGCAGAGGCTCGACCACGACCACAACGGAGTACTATGATCCCCACCATTGACATCTATCGGTTTCAATTCCAACATTCTATTCTAGTTCTAAACCAACCCAGTTCGTCGCGCTTCTGGCCAGAGCCTCATGATAAATCCAGCCCAACCCCTCTCTTCCCCCATCACCCCTCATTCAATGAACTCCCAGTTCCCAAACCAATATCCAAGAATATAATATGATGTACGCACAGATAAGGAAGATACCAACCCAACGAACCCCTCTTTTCTTCCTCCTACTCAATCATACTAATAGTAACTACTAACTAATGAAGAGTGGGTAACCCCTCCAATTCCACCACGTGTAAACCTATCCACCAGGAATCACAATACTAAGCGATGGATCTCCACTTAATCTACGCACCGTCCAAGCTGATAGGAAAGGCTGAGATAGGCTGAGATGCGCGGTGCTGCGCCGCATTGAATTTTTTCTTCCCTTGTCTATCGGGATTGGGCTACTGGGTTGGTTGGGTTGGTTTGTACCCGGGGATATGGTAACGGGGATGATTGGTGTGGATTGGGTTGGGTTTGGTGGTTGGAGAGTTACTAGTTAGTTAGTTGATTAGTTAGTTAGGCTTTGGACTAGGGGGGAAGGGAGGTTTTGGCGCGGTGAGGGTGGTGGTTGGTGAGTGCACAGGCGCGGTGTGGATTTAGTTGGAGGGGTAAGTAGTAGTCGTAGTAGTTGATTGAGGTGTAGAGTGTAGGGTGTAGAGGATATTGGGATTGTAGTTATAGATTGTGGTGTTGTAGAGAGGGATTGTTGGATAGAAGATAGTAACTAACTATGCTATGTGGTATGTATGTAAGTAGTGGAGGTGATTGAGCTGGGAAGGGTGTAGATGTGGATGTGTAATGTGACTTCAAGTAAATAGAGAGTTTGATTGTCTTTGTATATCACCATCACAGTAGTAATACTTCATAAGGATAGATGTAGAAAGAAATAACTGTGTTTCCAACACACAGACAGACAGACAGACACAGCCATAGAAATAAAATACACAGTTACTACCGCCGTAACAAGCCCTACGTAACGCACCACCACCCACCATACCAATACCATACAATACCAACCAAACCCATCATCTATCTTCCTGGCGGCAATAACAACCCTACATCTTACCCTCACTCTCACTCCCTCCTAACACAGTAATCAATCTCAAGTACCTACTACTAGGTTACTTACTCCTAGTATGCATGCCATCGCTTATCCCCAACGAATCACAACGATGTGAACGGCCTGCTGTGATCTAGGACGGGTGCATCTCGACCCATGATTGGATGACAAGGCGCGCTCTTTGTTTCATCTTGTTGCTGAAGAATTGCGGGTCGGGGTGATTGGCCTGCTTTTGATGTGCTAGTGGGGAAACGAGGATGGGATGGGGGCAGTGGTGGACGGAGATGATTACTTTCTAGGTAATAGGGTCGGTAGTTATTTACTTTGGTTCTAGGGGGTGTTCGAAGGGCTTCTAGATTGATTAATTGGGTTGGGGGTTAGTGGGATTATACTAGTACCCTGTTGGTGGTAAGATTATAGGGTAGGGGATTGTTGGCTGTGGCAATAGAGAGAGATAGTAGCTGAATACCAAGTAGGAGTACACTGTAACTGTGAGTCGGGTGTACTTCAGCCTCATGACTCCTCTTCTGTGATTACTTGGGAGTAAGTAGTAGTCACTGCAGACTGCGACTTCATTGCACAGACCGTATAGACAGACACAGACACACACATCCGGCGCGTCCGCGTCCAGCCAGCAGAGTGTCTGTCTTCTTCCCTTCAATTGATTTGATACAAAGATAAAGTGGCCGCTGCAGTTAAGCGCCGGCACTAAGCCCGATGGGGCCGCAGTGGATCTTCCCCTCTTCTATATGTCAATATGATTGGTGAGATGGTATAAGAGGGATGTGTGGGGGATGGAGATGACGTGTGGATAGTAAATACTTACTAGTCAGTAGTAGATACTACTCTGTAATAGTAGTTAGACGAATTAATGTCCTATTTTTGGATGTTTCCCTCTCCAATACTGCATACTGCGTATTGCACACTCTTTCCTCCAGTCTGATTGGAAAAACAAGATTCTTCTGGTCACTAAGCGGTTATGTCATCTGCTTACTTGCACACACGGCAATCCCATCACCAAACCTAATGCACCTGGACGCCATCTCATCACATCTCAACGCCCAGTCATTTTGCCGCCGGGATCTCAGCCGCTCGGAGGATCACCCATCCTCTCGCTGGAATCCTTCTAGTCAGTCATTAGTCAGTTAGTCCATCGTTGCATGCTTCCCAAAAAGGTAACGAGGGGCCGGCACTATTACTACCCTCGGCGCTAAAGTAGACACTCCCTGGTCATGCCGTCCCTCCATCTATTCGACCCAATCCTGGCGCTTCTGAAGCCTTCCATCCTGGTCGATCAGTTGGTCCGCCCCCTGCTAGGAGGGATAGCGCTGGATTCCGGACAGATGGTAGGTTAGTTGCTGTGGATACTCCTTTGACTCGTTCAATCATAGGCTGTCTGTTAAGCGCCGACGGAGAGACGGGATCGAATCCTCGCGTGTGAGCAAGTGTCTGGAGGGGTATTTCTATTTTCATCGCAGCAGGGAAGTTATTTCTGGTAACGCCAGGGTCTACTGGACTAGTCCTAGCCCTCCGCAATCTGATTGGCCTTGGGGTCCTGGTGCAGGTGTACCCTGCTCGGTGCTTATGTATTGCTATTTCTGGGACCTCATGGGGATATTTTTGGTAACGAGCACGACGGTGTTGGATGCAATGGATGCGATGGATATATGTATTGTTGAGCATCCAAGATGAAGTTGATGATGGAGATGGACTCTCTTATTGCTTGCATGCTATGTTTCCCTTTCAATACCGGTCTCCTACCTACCTGGTAGAAGTTGAGTTCAATGGAGCAAAGTGTGTGTGGACATAGCCAAGCCCCTCACACTCCGTCCGAATTGCCCCTCGGAGCTGTTCCTGAGAGGCTTGATTTGACTGGCTGAGACCATCCATAATTGCCCAGTCCAGTAGCTTCTCCGCTCATCTTTTGCAGAATTTAGTCAGACTAGTACGTGGTTCACATAGGCAGAGTGCCCTGTCAAATCAGATACTGATACTTGCATAGTCGTCCCATCCTCACGAGGGGTACCCATCTGGCACCAGAACTTACTTAGTTGGTTGTCTACCTAACTAAACCAGATTTCCAGCGGTTAACAAGGTTATGCCGCCCCTGTGACAAAGGATGCATGATTCCCGCTCGCTGCAGCAGTGGATTGACGACGCTCCCCTCCTTGATGCTGCACTGTGAGCCAATCAATGTCCCGGACTGGCCTCCAGTGGTGATGAATATAGCAACAACACTGCGTGGCTGTCAGGTTCTTATACAACCTTAAGCGCAATTCCCCTGCATGACGACTATTCTTCATCACTCGGTGAGCGGGTCATGGGGCAATAACCACAGCTGGTGTCCAAGGAAGGGTGACTCGACCCCGCGTATTGTCGCCCATGTGGTGATCCAGCGCTTGGGTATGATACGGTTTGGTACGACTGGTTTTACAAGAAATGAAGGGAGACAGAGAAAAACAAAACAAAGAGAAAGGAAAAACACAGAGACAAGTGGATGGGGGTGAAGTCACTGTTGGTTCAGTGGGTGATGGTGATAGGCGTCTAATAACCACTGTGCCACCATCACGGCGGCAATGAAGGACTACATCTAGACCAGTGTCCGCACATGAACTCCTAGCACTTTGTTGGGTAGTGCTAGACAGGTTCTCTTCCTGCCTGTGATTGTCTTCCCTTTGTCTAACTAGTTGGTGAGATTGACATCATCTGTGGTTTGCTCATCAACCATGGGATCTAGTGTTCTGGCGGGCTGACTGACGGGCAACTGAACCATGGAATTCGGCCGAAGAGGGGACGCCTGACGGAGCCAACCATGGTAGGGCGGGGGGAAATTCTTTAGGGTTCTGGAACTGAGAGTGAGAGTGAGAGGCTACTAGTGAGGGAGAGAGTGGAAAAAAGCTGATTGAGACAGTAGTGAAAGATGCTGACCGATGCGGTGTGATGCCAAGAGGCTATATTTAGAAGCGGCGAAAGAAGAAGCAGCAAAAGAAGAGGAAGAAGAGCAGAAGAAGCCGAAGAAGAAGAAGTGCTCGTGGATGCCCCTCTCACTCTCTTTTTCTCCATTCTTACTCCTCTTCTTCTTCTATCTTCTTTTCTCTCCCTTCCCATCTTCTCATCTCGACACCATTTCGACTGCCCTTCGAGAAAGATACTCATCTAACATCTTCCCCACTGAAACTGAACTTCCCGACCAAACTAATATAATCATATTGATTAATATTAATATTGTTGTTATGCATCGAATTGCCTGATGCGGTGATCCCCTCTTATCCCGTGATCTGCGCCGCGCCGTTTCCTTCCCAACAACCCTTTCCAGCGCCTCTCCAATTATTCTATTCTATTTTCCTCCATATGCATCCTCGGCCATCTTATCTGCTAGTGTCTTGCGCTACTTGCTCCATCTCCTCCTCTTCCTGATATCCGAATTCGAATCCCCCTCGATCTTCCTCTCCTGTCTCTCTCTCTCTCTCTTCCTCTTCCTCTAAAACCCCCTTCTCTCTCCCTCCCCCTTATCTATCCCGTCTGACC